TGCTTGTATGTGTCTGAATCCAGTTAAGGTCAAGGTTTAGGTTCTTTTCCATGGGACTCCCAGGCCCCATGCAAATCGGGGGATGTAGCTTGACATCTATTTTAAGGGCTCCTGAACTTACTGTGACTGCTAAGTTTCCCAAACTTGGATGATAGTTAGGAGGCCAGTGTCGCCTGAGCACACACAGGATCCCATAAGAATAGTAATGGCTCTAGCCCAGTCAGGACACACTATTATGTTATTAACATTTATAGCCAACATTTGAATAGCAGTTTCCATTACAAGGTGCTTTTCATATAACTTATCTTATTTAGCCCTGAGGCAGAGGTCAATATTTCATTCTTATTTTTCCCGTGAAGAGACTGAAGACTAGAAACATTGTGGTTGCATAGCTTAAAAAAGGGCAGGACTTTCTTTTGCTCCTATGTCACTCATTCCAAGCTACCTTCTTACCAGATGAAAAAAAAGGCCATAAATATTTACGGTATCAGCAGTTGATATTGTCATAATAGCAGGTCTTAATGTTAACTAGGTTTGGGGTGAAATTAATAGCATTGAAAACTGTTGGATAATTTCATTTAAATTTAGGCTTCCTTGTACTCTGTAGTTTTGTGTGAACTGCAGCCAGTTTTGTAAAAACAAAACCAAAAAACTTTATATTGTTTTTTTTTCTCAGAGCCATAATGGACACAGCTAGCCATAGTCTTGTCCTTCTGCAGCAGCTGAACATGCAACGAGAATTTGGTTTTCTGTGTGATTGTACAGTTGCTATTGGAGATGTTTACTTCAAGGCCCACAGAGCAGTGCTTGCTGCTTTCTCGAACTATTTCAAGATGATATTTATTCATCAAACAAGGTAAGGATGTGCTTTTGTAAATCAGAAAAATTTTAATAGTGTGCTATATCTAAACCTTATAACATCATTTTGGGGATTTTTTGTTGTAAGGTCACCTTAAGAAGTAAAAAAAATTATAATATATATTTTTTACATACCAGTAATTAAATGCAGTGTGAAGCATCCTTGGTGGAAGATAAGAATAAAAATAATAATAGCTCAAATTTATTGAAGGCTTATCCCATACCCAAGCACGAAGTATTTACCTGATGTAAATTCTACTGTTATTCATACTATTTCAGAGAAAAGGAAACCGAGACAGTTGTTGAGTAACTTGCCCCTCCAGGATCACACAGCTATGTCGCTAGACTCAAATGTACATCTGTGCTCTTAAAGATTTAATGCTCTTAATTACTAAGTTGTTGATTTCTATTCCATTATACTTAACATAGCAAGATTTCAATGTCATAATTCTTTCCACCTTGTATTCCATATTACAGTTCAAAGGTCATTTGTTTTCTTTTTTTCAAAAGTTTTTTTGAATTTAGGTTACCCCAACCTGATAGGTATGTAGTGGGAGGGCTAGAAAGTGGTATTCAGGTTTTGAGCTCTTGGTAAAGAATAGCTTTAATCCATCCTAGATTGAAAGAGATAGAACACTTTTTGTTTCTTTAAAGGGCCTTATATTGAAATATTTAGGATTCCAGCCCCAATTATACCTTTTTATTTAATTGTTCATTCATTCAACTATTTATTGATTACTTACATGTCAGGCACTGTGCTAGACCTCCCTAACAGATAAGTTATACTGTCTGCCCTCAAGAAATTTATAGACTAGTAGAGAGGTAGTGCCTTTAAGGAAAATGATTGCAGTGTAATTGATCTCTCTGTGCCTCAGTTTCCTTTTCTGTAAAACACTAGAATAGTATACCTACTAAGATAAAATGGATTAATATTAAAATGCTTAGAACAGGAGCTTTGCACTGTTAGCTGCTGTTATTAATAATTAATGTGATAAGTCTGTAAAGGAAGTATTGTACAAGATAAAGTGGAATATCAGCAGCCCTATTTTGGGAAGGTTGGAAGAGGTTTTACAGAGACCCTGGATCTTGAAGGGTCAGGAGTTGTTTTTCGGATACTGTAGAGGAATGCAACAAGGTACATTGCACACAGGAAAAAATGCATGAAAACATGCAGACATGAACCAGGCTAGATCAGAATGATTGGAATGTATGGCACAAAGGGGAGAGAAGGTTAGAGTGGGGGACAGGTTGTGGGTAGCCTTTTCTGCCACACCAAAGAGTTTCCTCTCTGACCTACGTGTCAATGTAGAAACTATATTAGAAATACTACCTTCACATCAATCTTGTCTGATAGCTGTGAGCTGGTCCAGCTCTCAAAGTGCCTGATGTGTACCAGGCACCGGGCTAAACTAAATTCAGGAGAGTCAAATGTGGGCAGCCTGCTACGTGGTATCTGTTGAGCAACTGAAAATCTTCAGTTAACAGAGCTCTGTGCTGATATAAAAAACCCCTGTCATAGACCATGCAAGTGGGTGGGTCAGAGCTAAGAGTGAAGCCCAAGAAGGAATCCCAAAATATCAGGACTAAAGAAATGGATTGTCAGCCTACTGCCATCCCATGCTTTCTGATGCATTGACACACACTTCTGTTTCAGGGAAGGTAAGTTCATTGACTGATTCCATTGCTCCTTGACATCCAACACTTCCCTCAGGTTGTCTTTATCCTAATTTTTCAGGGTATTTCCTGATTTCTTGTTACACAGTTATTTTCATCTATTATCTGAATTCTAGACTCATGTAAAAATTGGGCTTGGGACTTAAATTAAAGCTTTTCAAAGTTATACCTGTATTCATTTGTGATCTAAAGAGTGGATATATTACTATAGTTTGGAATCCAAATTAGGTTAGCATAATTTAAATTCTAAACATTACCAATTTCAATATACCCTTTTAAAAATTTTAAATATTTTTATTGTGGTAAAATATATACAACATAAAATTTGCCATTTTAACCATTTTTAATTGTACAATTCAGTGGCATGTATTAGAGTCACAATGTTGTGCAACCATCACCACTATTTATTTCTAAAACTTTTCATCACCCCAAACAGAAACCATATCCATTCAGCAATAACTCCCCATACCCCACGCCAAAGCTCCTGGTAACCTCTAATCTACTTTCAGTCTCTAGAGATTTCTTATAAGTGGCATCATACAAAATTTGTCCTCTTTTGTCTGGCTTATTTCACTTAGCATAATGTTTTCTAGTTTCATTTATATTGTAGCATGTGTCAGAACTTCATTCTGTTTTATGACTGAATAATCTTCCATTGTATGTGTGTGCCACATTGTGTTTATCCATTCATCTGTTGATGGACACTTGGGTTGTTTCCACCTTTTGGCTACTGTGAATAATGCTGTACTGAACACTGGTATTTGCTTGAGTTCCTGTTTTTGGTTCTTTTGGTTATATACTCAGTAGACTGTTAAGTTCTTTAAGAGCAGAGTACCTATTTTATTCATCATTTTTTTACCCCCTGACCACTTAGGAGTCACTACATAAATGTTGAATTAATCAGAATATCTGTGTTTCCTAACTTTAGGCAGTAGATTAAATACATGAAGACTTGTTGTTGGACCATAAAACTGGTTTACAATGAATGTATAAGCTTTTGCTGCTGTTTGATCAAGGCGGATTGCTAAGTTTGAACTTCTTAGGAAAAAATTGCTTTCGCCTAAGACTGTATACTGTTAACTAAAAGGCCAACCGGTAGTTTCATTTTGTGTGGGTCTGTTTGTTTTTCTAACAGCGAATGCATAAAAATACAACCAAGTGACATCCAACCTGACATATTCAGCTATTTGTTACACATTATGTACACGGGGAAAGGGCCAAAACAGATTGTGGATCACAGTCGTTTGGAGGAAGGGATTCGATTTCTTCATGCTGACTACCTTTCTCACATTGCAACCGAAATGAATCAAGTGTTCTCACCAGAGCCTGTGCAGTCCTCAAATCTGTATGGCATTCAGATCTCAACGACCCAAAAAACAGCTGTTAAACAAGGGCTGGAGGTCAAAGAAGCTCCTTCCAACAACAATGGAAACAGAGCTGCCGTCCAGGGTGATCACCCCCAGTTGCAGCTTTCTCTTGCTATTGGGCTGGATGATGGCACTGCTGACCAGCAGAGGGCCCGTCCTGCCGCGCAGGCCTTAGAGGAACACCCGAAGCCTCCAGTGTCCATCAAGCAGGAGAGATGTGACCCAGAAGCTGTGATCTCCCAGAGCCACGCCTCACCCTCCTCAGAGGTAACAGGCCCCACTGTCACCGAAAGCAGTATCAAAATCCACTTATGCCATTACTGTGGAGAACGTTTCGATTCCCGTAGTAACCTAAGACAGCACCTCCATACCCATGTGTCTGGATCCCTCCCATTTGGTGTTCCTGCTTCCATTCTGGAAAGTAATGACCTTGGTGAAGTGCATCCACTTAATGAAAATAGTGAGGCTCTTGAATGCCGCAGGCTCAGCTCCTTCATTGTCAAGGAGAGTGAGCAGCAGCCTGACCACTCAAATCGGGGACCCACAGAGCCTTTGCAGATCAGTCAAGTGTCTTTGATCTCCAAAGACACAGAGCCAGTAGAATTAAACTGTAATTTTTCTTTTTCAAGGAAAAGAAAAATCAGCTGTACCATCTGTGGTCATAAATTTCTCCGCAAGAGCCAATTGCTGGAACACATGTATACACACAAAGGTAAATCTTACAGATATAACCGATGCCAAAGGTTTGGTAATGTGTTAGCCCAGAGATTTCAGCCATATTGTGACAACTGGTCTGATGCCCCCCTGAAAAGTTCTCGCTTGTTGCAAGAACACTTAGACTCATCTTGTGCCTTAGAGTCAGAGCTCACACAAGAAAATGTGGATACTATTGTAGTTGAGTAGCAGTTTCTCCTTCAGAATTTTTATATCAATTCTGAAAAAGAAAATTCACATGCATTTTTTAATTTGTAAATTATTTTACTCCTCAAGTTCTATGGACTTTTTTTCTTTACCATTTATTCATAGTTTTAATGTTGTATATTTTAGGTCTCCTTATCGTAAGATATATTAAATTATGGCTATTAAAATGTAACCTTCAATTAGGGCTGTGAACTTCTCATAAATTCACATTTGGAAATTAGAAATCAATATAGTAATATGGAACTTTAGAGTAAATAATTACTTGTATAATTTCTAAGTTTTACCGGGTTGTAGAATCAGTAAAATCAAATAAATATGCAGTAAATGAGATATTTTTTAAAGAATGTTCGACACTGTCACTTTTGGCTATTGTTTCACAAGAATAAGCCCCTATCAGGACTATTTAAAAATATTTTCTACCATATAGGAAGTTAATAGTTATTTTAATGCATAGCTATGTGAAAATGTATAAAAAATTGTTTTAAGGCGTAGATGTACCAAATCATGAGTAGTTTTAAAATTATATTTTACTTACTAGTTCTGCAACATCTTACATGGTTTTTATTTATTTTTTAACACTGAACATACCTCATTTTCAATAAAAAATATTTTAGTTAAAAAGAGAGAAAAGGAGAAGAGTCAGAAATAAAATAAAAAATCCTAAAGAGAGTAACAATAAGATATGTGCACATAGATGGGCATACAAAGACAGAGATTCAGATAGATCTGCACTAACAGTCCAGTGTTGTTATCTTAATTTAATGTGTTTTCTCAAAAACCTTAGAACAATTTGAGATTTTTTTTTTATGACTGGAGGTTAACATGAGTTTAAAAAGGGAAATGATAAAATACATATTATCTTTATACCCTCAGTGTCAGAGGATTTTCTAGGCTGCCTGAGTTGATGTTAATTTTTTAACAATCACTTGAAAAGGTAATTTTTCAATGACACAGTTTTCACTTTTTTCTGGCCCATAAAAGCAGCAGAGTAGTTAGAGTCAAAGTCTAGAAGTATATTTAAACTCTATGACAGGCTTTTTCTCTGTGAATAAACTTAACTCCCTTTTATAGTGCTGAAACTTACAAAGTTAAAACCCCGGGAAAATGAAAATTGATGTACTAAGTAAAGATGCTCCTGCTCTGTGTTGCTGGGAAACAGCTGATCAAACCTTACCACAAAGGACGGATCCAAACTGTTTCTGAAATATTTAAATATCAAATACTAGGTAGTCATGAATAACAAAAGAGAGAGGCTTCAAAACAGCCTCATCTTTTTTGCATGCTTCCCTGATAAATTCTAAGCCTCACAGACCTTTTAATAAATCTGAGGAATTTAGTGTGTGAGGCTTAGAATTTAATTGCATACAAAAATTCTTTGAGTTCTTTCGTGACTGCACCCTCTGAGGACATTTCCTGACAACTTCCTCAACAGCATCCGAGTTCAGTCAGGAGGGAGCTCAAAGAGTAATCCAGCTCATTCTGAGGACACAAAGGTTTTCTCTGGATAAACAGTGACTTTAGCTGAATTATGAAGTGATAAGTTTTCCTTGAGGGTTGAATGAAGAAAACCACTGGGCATTGTCTAAAGCAGTAGAGTTTCTGCCTTAGACAAGTGAGCAAAGCCTTCTGGGGTCAAGATTGATACGTGCTGAGAGAATAACCTAACTAGCTATGGATATAGGATCAATAGGAGTGGTTAAAATAAATGTGTTGCTCTTTGGGGTCAGAATGTCGTTTAATCTTAAATTATGTAAGCAATTACGCAAACATACTGCCTTCAAACATTTCATCTCATAGGATGAACACAAATATTAACCTTGATTTCATGTATTTTAGGCTATTTGGGGTGTATTCCTTAGTCGTTTTTAAGTAAAATTTTATTTTTCTCATTAAGGTAATTTTCTGATTTTTCTCTTCAATATTCTTTACTACTTGCTCAGTCATTAGTCCTTGACACAATAAGTATATAGCTAAGGGGTGGGATTAGGGATACACATGAGTTGTGGAGTAGGGTAGCAGCAGTTCAGGACAGGGCCTGGAGAAATGTAAGAATTTGCTTGTGGCTGATTGGCCATGATAGACAACATTGATTTAAAGCATAAATATATCTACATTTTTTGGGTGTTGAGAAAATAGTGGTCAACTGTATTTTTATTCCTATTCATATAGTTCTTTTTAATATTAGGAATTTAAAGCAAATGTTCTTTCCTTAGTCTTCATGATACTGTCTCTTTTAGGAAGTGGAAAAATGTTAACTCCATTTTATAGAAAATATATAAAAAGCTGGGTTCTGGAGAACCAGTGAATTGTGGTGTGGGGACTGACCCATTTTTTTTTTTTCATTCGGCAAGCATATTTCAAAAATAGCTGTAATATGACTAACACTGTGCCCTGAGTGTATTTTTTGTTTTAAAAATATTTTTTCTTTATCTTTTCTTTTTTTTTATTGGGGAACAGTGTGTTTTTTTCCAGGACCCATCAGCTCCAAGTTAAGTAGTTGTTTCAATCTAGTTGTGGAGGGCACATCTCAGCAGCCCATGTGGGGATCAAACGGGCAACCTTGGTGTTATGAGCACTGCACTCTAACCAACTGAGCTAACCGGCCCCCTCGAGTATATTTTTTTAAGATATGATTTGTCACTAAGAAAATCTACTTTGTAGATAAAAAAAAAAATATTCCAGCTAAACCCTTTAGTTTTGACTACATCATCTGCAAAATGGAGCTAATAATTTTAGCCATATAGTATGGGTTGCATAATGATTACCAAGCTCAAAAAACTGGAAATGCTATATGCACCTTAATCAATGTATCAGGCAAATACTAAACAGACATTTTCCCCTTGGATAAGCTTGGGATCTTCCCTTCTTTCAGATACTGTATATAGTTGTTTTCTGGAGAAAAACAGACTGTTTTAGTATTTGTCCTTATTAGCATATTGTCAGAACTCAGTATATGGTAAGTATAGTCTGCCTCATGAGAAAATTTCTTAATTTGTATCTCTTGAGGTTATTATTTCTTGCTTTGATTTCCCACATGTAACGTGGATGTAAGCAGTTCCTACCTCACAGGGGTGTTGTGAGGATGTGTATTTAAATTGTTAAGTGCTTAGTATTATTGATAAAAATGAACCATGTAAAGAAAGCTACATTAATTCTATAGCAAAACCTATTAACTTCAGTATTTCAACCTGTAGTTCTAGAATGTCTTAGAAACAGTCATATACTTTAATATTCAATAATTCATTGACAAAATTCTTATTTTTATTTTTTACAAATACTCTAGAAATAGCAGTGTTGCCAGAATTTCTATTCTACCATAGTTTAATCAAGGAGGATATTAGTTCTTTTGCATTTTCGGGAATAAAACCTTGCCAGTTTCAGCTTTACTGAAAGTTCCCACAAACATATTGTTTACACCTAGGAAAAGGAACAAAAGCAATGGAGGAAATAACATTTTCATTTCTTCAATGTAGGTCATCTAAAAAGTAGATGGGGGGGGGCCAGCTGAGTGGAGCGTTCGTTAAGAGTTGGCTTGGGACACCAGCTCTGAGCAGCAGGGCCTTGGTTCGGATCCCACATGAGGGCCTTGACAGCTGTAGTGGGGCTGGCCGGCAGCTGGTGTGAGCTGCCGTGAGCCTCCGTGAGCGGCCATCCAATGGCCGGTGAGCAACTGCCTTACCCAGAAAGAGCGCAGTGATTATACCAACATGGGCCAGTGAAGCGGGGTCCTCCACAACTAGACTGAAGAACAAAAGGACAGCAGCTTGTCTGTTCCCCTTCCCTGATTCCCCAGTGCTGTTCCCCTCCCCAATTCCCCAATAAAGTCTTAAAAAAAAAAAAAAAGTAGATGGGGACAAGAAATGAAGTGGGGATAATAACATAGTAATTCGTATGTTCTTTTAAAATAGTATTGGAAAGGCTTCACTTAAAACTGAAGGAAATACATATTAGTCGTGGAAAAAGATAGCCTGAAAGTGTATAATTCCATTAATATTTATTTGCACAGCCGTATTCTTGATGTTGTAATTCAGATCCTTGATAAATATCAATTTTCTTATTGAGGTAAAAATAGGTCACATGAAGAGTTTTCATAATGTAACTTGTGTCTTTGTATGTTTTAAACTAAATGTAGCTGTATGGTATTTTATAATTCATTTTTAAATTCCTAAGAGTGAAATCTGTAAATGATTATTCTCTGCTATATTTCTGTGTTTGTATGCTTGGACTTTTTGAAAACTGGTAAGATTACACAATCCCAAGCCTGGATGTCTTAAATACAGGAATCACAAAGTGTGATTTTTGTCTTCAAGCCCTGAAGAATCCACTGTGTTTCAGTATGTATCTGTGCCACACTTGATTAGTTAGTAGATATTGCTCCAGTGCAACTGACATTAAATGTCATCAACTCTCCTATTTTGTGCTAAAGTCAGATTAGATCAATTATCAACTTAAAATACTTTCAAAGAAACTTGGATTTCAAAAATTTGTCCAATAAAAAAGGCCCACTGAAGAAGTCTTCGAAGTAGAAGTAACATAGCAAAACACAGGAGACTGAAATCAATGACACATTGTATGGTTCAACTCTTCCACCTAATGTAATGTGAGTTTGCTTCAGAAACCTTCTTTTAGAAAGTTTTGTATGGAATGAAAACAATGGATTTCGTGTATTTTATCATGACAAATAAATTAATATGACTTGATCATAAACATAATTTTATATTAGCTCAGCTTATAGAATGTGTTCTTATTTTACAGCAGTGTCTTCCAAATGTCTTCCTAGTGTTGAGGTAAGTAATCTGTGTGCCAGGTAACATTTTGGATGTGTGATGCAAAAATGTATCTGTGAGCCCAATTCTTATCAACCATAATCCAACTACCATCTCTGGAAAGAAAGGTAATATCTAGTCATTTCCCAGAAGTTTCTTGCTTTGCTCTTTCTTTCTTCCCTATTTACTCTCTACTGTATCTCCTCCAATAACATAATCTACAGCAGCGGTTCTCAACCAGGATGTATTAGGGTTCTCAGAGAAATGTCCCAACAGGATGCGAATGAGTGAGTGTGTGTGTGTGTATCCTGTAGCCCAGTTAAGTTGACGGAGGGAGGGAGGGAGGGAGGGAAGGGAGGGAGGGAGAGAGAGAGAGAGAGAGAGAGAGGACTATAAGGAAATGGCTCATGCAAATGTGGAGGCTGAGCAGTCCCAAAGTCCCAAGTTCTACATTTGGCAAACTGGAGACCCAGGAAAGCCAATGGTGTGGTTCCAGTCCAAAAACCAGCAGTCCCACAAAGTCAGGAAAAGACCAATGTCCCAGCTTAATAGTCAAGCAGAAGATCCCCTCACTCTTTGAAAGGTCAGCCTTTTTGTTCTATTCAGGCTTTCAAATGACTGGATTAGGGTAATTTACATTAGAGACGGCAGTCTGCTTTACTCAGTCCACTGATTCAAATGATAATCTCATCCAAAACACCATCACAAACACACCCAGAATGATGTTTAGCCAAATATCTGGGTACCCTGTGGCCCAGTCAAGTTGACACATAATGTTAACCATCACACAGGGTGGTGCCCCCACCATAGGGACA